AAGAAATTTTAAAGAATTTTGGAAACAAGTAACCATTTACACCCACAGAGGAAAAAAACTATGTCTATCTGCTTTTTTTCTCATGCTTGTCCTTTTTCAAAATAACAAAAACAAAAAAGAACATAAGAATTTTCCTTTGGCCAGTACAACTTATAATATCAAATAAGAAAACTATACTTAATGTAATGCACTGTATTATGTCTGACTGTTTTACTGATTAAATAAAAAAATGTTTTTCAGTTTTGCCTCCAGTTCAAACCAGCATGGAGGTTTCTGATTTTATACAACATCCTAAGCATTACGATTTTATTTTTTTAAAGAATTTTTGCTCAACATTTTAAAGCTGTATACTGAATGTATTTTGTGAGCTCACATGTGTTCCGATGCTTATAACCAAGTGCTTCTCAACTTCTGGACTTGCAAGGCAGAACCAACAGGGTCCAGTGGGCTGAGCTGGGAAAATAAAAAAACGTCTGTCAAGAGCAGCATGCAAAAATTCAATTCAAACTCTTGCCAATATTAACTTAAAAAAGCGCTAAATGCATGAAGTTCTGCTGAACTGTTCTGGTGATTTTTTCAGAATAATGAAAAAGTTAAAAGCTTCATTTCTATGAATTTTTCCAAACAATTTTCAAAGTGTTGCCTCTTCATGTGGCCTCCGTTCCTCTGACTCTGGTCTTTTAACAGGGCTTTTGCCTCTCTGGAGCTCTCCCCCCATGATATAAGACACTGAATCTTTTAAATTGTTTAAATCATACTTGAAAACTCACCTATTGAAAACATTCACCTATTCATGAGGCGTGCATTTTTGGTTTATGTTTCTAGATATTTGAATGTTTTATAAATTTTTTATGTTTTAGCAATTGTGAATGTTTTAGCCTGAATGATTCAATTGTACTGTTGTTCCAAACTGTTTCATATCTGTATATTTTTGGTGTAAAGCGCTTTGAGAATTAAGTTTTAAAGGCGCAATATAAGAATAAATTATTATTACTAATATTATTATCAATGAAAAAAGCAATATATTCCAATCAAGACTGTGTTGAAAGAACGAATGTGTGGACTATAGTCCCAAGGGTTCAGATGTTTATGCTGTATATTGCAAAAAACTAAACTGGTATTTCTAATGACCACAGACAATTATCCATTAAAATAAGTCATTGAAATTAAAAGAGAGTGCATGTGAATGGACTCACGTGGTCTTCGAGGCTGTTTGTGCTGATTTGGCCGGTCTCCATCTGACTGTCTCTTCCTGCCATGTTGTCGTTGTGGATTCTTCTGACCCAGATCAAAGAAGAACTGTGATGCTGGTTCTTCCTGATCAAAGAGAGGGGGAAATCAATATTTATCAACATAAGGTTCAATCCAATCATAGAGTTCAACAACATAATTCATAAATGTGCCAAACACCTTTGATGTCAAGGAATTCTATGAAAAATAAAAATTCTTAACCGTCTCCATAATAACACAATAGTATTTGCGTTGATAACAATGAATGATTCTTAAATCCAAATCAATATATTACTGATTTCTGATGGATCATTCAGCTTTGCCATCACATAAATAAATTGCATTAATCTTTATCAAATAAAATGAAAACTATTTTTTTAAATATCATAAACCTCAGGCTTTTACAGATGTGCTGGCAAGAAAAAAAAAACACAGTCAACACGCACCTGTGCATCTGTCATTGAAGCAGACTGTCTTTCTTTCTTCCCATCTTTCATGAGCTTCCTGTAAGGATTTTCTGTGACATCCTGAGGTTGTTTGACTAACTCTGTGGAATCCATGTTTTTCATCGGGATAATGTTGAATGCATACAAATACTGTAAGAAAAAAGTGAACAGTTAACCCACAAATTAACCTCATTTTTTAATAAAAAAACAATTGTAAAGGAAGGAACATTTAAATTTCCCATTTATAATTTTCATGTTAAAGCTTACATTATTCAATAAAATAGATGTAACAGTAAAACGGCATTGACTTTAAGCCAAAATTAAGATGATAACAATACATATGTTCAAATACTATATAAAAGATATAACCCCCACCTTCTTCTTGGCAGGATTGTTAACAGTTGCCAGTGCAATGAATCTACTGACATGCTGAGTATTTTCTTGAAGGACCACATGATTCCTGTGAATTTAGAACACATTTTGTGAGACAAACAACATCTGACAAGAGTAAAAAAAAAAACATCCTGATGCTTTAACACCATACCTGTAGGGCAGCCGCTCATAATGTACTCCTTCCAGACCCGCAAAATGGTAGCGAGGTTTTAGCTTGTCAGCGAGATCTGCGATAGATGAAACTCCACAAAACTTCATATCTGTTTCCTACAAATAAAACAACTTTGTTAGCACTATAAAATATCTATGAAATATACCAAACTGTTTTAAACAAGCAAATCAAAGCACTGACTGGGCTGTTTCCATATTGACACACGCCTCGAGGCCACTGTGAGGTCAGGAGAATGTCAACTCCCCGAAATTTAGAGTTGGACAGAAGTGGTGCCACCAGGGCAGTGATGTCTTTAGGGGTAAAACAGTGTGACGGAGCCGGTTCCTGATGAGCTTCTCTGCCACTGACATAAGCGATCTGAAGACCTGATGCCCCTGTGAAAATGCCCCTTCGACCTGGAAAATAAATTAATAGAAACAGTATGTGTTTAAAATTATATTTATTAATATTATTGCAGATTTTCACTTAAACTGATTTTCACTTATTGATAAACAAATATACATTTATTAAAATAGTTCTATCTTTTTAAATTAATTTTGCTTGGACATCCTAGAACATAAGCCTTGAATAAATCAAAATTACTCAAAATATTATTATTAATAATAAAATAATTAATTATTACTTCTGGTAATTACTTTAATTAAATCAAACATATATTATTTTCCATTCATATGTCATTTAATAGGATAGTACAGACAAAAATGAAATCTCTGACACGGTTTACTCAACCTTCACTTGTTTATAACCTATTTACAGTTATTTTGAAAAATGCTGGTTGCTGGTACCCATTGACGTCTGTAGAATTTTTCTTCCTACTATGGAAGTCTATGGGTGACAGAAACCAGCATTCTTATAAACATCTTATTTTGTGTTCAATAAAAGAAAAAAATATAAAGGTTTAAAACTACACAAGTAAGTGGTGAGGTCATTTTCATTTTTGGGTGAACTAACCCTTTACATATAACATATACCACAACCACAGGGTATTGGGGAAAAATACAAATATCAATTTTATATATAATCTGGAATTATTTATTTAATTATTTGTTTATTATAATGCCATATCAGCAACATTGGTTATATTCATGGCAAAACCTTTACAAATTATACAACAAAATAACATAAAATCATATCAGTTTCTAAACAAACATTCACTGTAAAAAAACAACATCATACAAATATTTTTCCTTTTTTATGATTTGTATTTAATATTTTTCTATAACATAAAATTGTGTGTACTAGTTTTTGGACTGTTATCGTAAGTTATTTTGTTAGATAAGCTCCAGATTTGGCTTCAGTACTGACTAATCTAATGTAAATGCACAAATACAATATTGCTTCCTAATAATATGAAATATAAAAATATAGAAAATATGAATTAAAAAATATATATATTTGTGAGGGGTGTACTTATATATGCCGAGCACAGCAAATAGACACAGACAGAAAGATATGGGGTTATAGATTCATCTTACCCAAACACGTAATATTTTCTGCCAACTCACAGCCATCAGAGCTTGGAAAATACTTGACAGTCTCTTGACTGGCTGCACCGAGAATACAAGTATGGATGGGCGCTGGGGATTTAAACACATCCCTGATCAACATCACTGACATTCACTTCCTGTGATTACAGATATACTGCACAATTTAAACATGTTTAAAGTGACCTTACCCTTTTTTGCCCCAGATTTGTATGTTGCCCATTCTGCTTCAGCTTCAGGGGAGCTTCCAAAAAAGTCACCAACACACAGCAGCAACTGAAAAACAAATCTCAGTAAACACAAACTATCTCTCTTTTCAAGTTCGTCTCTTTAAAATAAGACTCTACACGTGTAAACTCACATCAAATTGCCCGCTCTTTTTCTGGATGGCGTTCACCCGGTTGAACAAGGCATTTATTCTTCCTTCAACGTCACCACACGCCAGTCTGAGGGGGAAATAAACATTTAATCAGCGTGGAGGCAAAAAGGCACGTGAGTTTATTACTTAGGGATCTCCATCTATTTTGTTAAAGACGACTCTAAATAGCACATGTATTACATGCAGCATTCTCATAAGCCGCTTTTCAGCCCAAGTTAACACTTACACTCTTAAAGGCTTGTCTCCCATACCGAACAATACTTAAATGTTTGTTACATATGCTTAAAATTGTTGTCGCTTGTGTCTGAGCATTGGCGTTGAATTTTGTGCGTCGACAAAATAAACCCTGACAGAACGTAGAGCTAATAATGTTGTCCGGCCATTTACGAAGTATACATATTAAAGCGAAAGTTGTTTTTGGTGCTATAGATCATTAATTAAATTAGAGTGAATGTTAAAGTGTGAAACATAGGCTTTTAAAACACGGCAGTATGCATCACAAGCCTATAACGTTAAGCGCATCACGTTTCTATACGGAAGAAATAAATGTGTGACACGTTCTCTGAACGCTTCGCATCAAGCAATGATTTCTTTAGCAATTCATAGTTGTTATTCCGTAAAATTAATACATATTTCGAAGCACAATATGCCACAACATATGACAAAAGTAATTAAGAAAGTAAATCAATTTAATAAAACGTAAAAAACTAAACACATAAACATAATTGTTAATAATGACAAAATAGTAGCAGCAGTAATAGGTGTTAATGTAAAAATAATGTAATGTAAAAATAAAATGACAACAATTATTATTTTATAACGCAAAACCGTGGCTAACAAGACGTGTACGGCGTGACGTAACACTACTTACAAAACCAAAACAGGAACTGATTTACATTTGAAAACACGAAGTGCAAACTGTACAGAACAAAAATAAACTGCTATATTATGATACCACGACATTAATACCATAGGACCTGAGTTTTAAAAAATGTAATGGATCGATCAAGAATGCACATCAGCTGACTGCATAATCTGCCAAATGAAGAACATCTACACAAGCAGACGAGTTCATGAAGCATTATTATATATCATATGCAGGTCGTCCGTCTGCAATGCAGAACTTGTTTGCAAATGAAGCGGATGTTTATGGAATACATGCATGCAGATGAACTGACTCCGAATCGATGCGCTCAACATTTCCATATATAGGCTTTGGGACAGGAGCGCCTTCACGACCGCTGATCCCAGAACAGCAGCCATGACCTCCCCCGAGCAGATAATAGAGATCGTGATGGATGACAAGACGTACAATGTGAGTAAAAGCAAACTAATCGAGAAGAGCGATTACTTCCGCGCGCTCTACAGCTCCGGGATGCGCGAGTCCGCGGAGGATTCGGTGCGGCTGCGGGGACTGAGCGCGCCCGGGCTCGAGCTAGTGCTGGAGTTCATCAACACCTCCAAAGTTCAGGTGGACAACGAGACTCTGGAGGACCTGATCGAAACAGCATCCTTCCTGCAAGTCACGTCCATCCTAAAGCTGCTTCTGTCTGAAATCAAGCAGGAGAACTGCGTGGAGCTCTTCAAGCTCTCTGAGGTCTATGGGATGCACGAGCTGAGAAGGGCTTGCCTGAAATTCATGAGCTGTTATTATCATCCTATGCTGCGCAGGCCAGAGTTCAGGATGTTGGCAGCTAATGTGCGAGAACAGATCCGAGATATCCGCCTGAAAGGCACAGCCACTTTAGTAGCAATAGGGGATTTTACTCACACCTGTCTGGATTTGGCGAATCAGGATGAGCCTTGGTCCATGTTGAGGTATGGTGAGGTAGAACAACGCTGGAAACCTCTGGCCAGCAACCTTCCTCAGGATATGATCAATGTCAGGGGTTATGGATCTGCTGTGCTGGACAACTACTTGTTTATTGTTGGAGGATACAGAATGACAAGTCAAGAGATCTCAGCCGCACATTGTTACAACCCCTCCAAGAATGAGTGGAACCAAGTGGCATCTCTGAACCAGAAGAGGTACAATTCATTTCTTCAGTGGAAGGGGCCTTTAAAGCTGATAAAATTAGATATGGTCACTTTACTCATTCTCAGTCGATACAAGCAGATTTTTTTCTTAAGCATGTCAGTAGAAACAATTTTTAGCTGAAGACGTGATCCTTTATTTTTTATAAAATGCAAATCAATCGCTACAAAGACTTTAAGAGTCAAAAATATACTAAATACCTTTGGTTCCTGACAAAAAAACAAGGCCTCATGACGTTAAATGATTGGTTTGTACAAGAAATTGAACGTTATTTACAACATTACTCTTTATTCACAGCTTTGGGAAACAGTCCGGAGTGCAATCATGACAGACGTGTGGGGCAAATTTAAACTGTACATTGAGCTGACGCTGTTTGTCATTCATTTACTTTCTTATTTCCTTTATTAATCAGGGCTTGCCACAGGGGAATCAACCGCCAACTTATCCAGCACGTTTTACACGGCGGATGCCCTTCCAGCTGCAACCCATCATTAGGAAACACCCATGCACTCTCATTCACACATACACTATGGACAAATAGCTTACGTCTGCCTGTCAGGAAAACTGGAGCACCTGGAGGTTTTGTTTACATTTTTATTTTCATATAGGTTGCAACATTATAACATGCAATATAATATGCAAAATTATCAGCACAGTGGTTTTACTTACCCTCCAGTTGCACAGTGTAAAGTATGGCTGGTCTGATAAATTCTATGATATTAAATCGCGATAAAACTATCGCGCCAATAACAATGATAAGCTCTGGATTTTATTACTCTATATTGATCCATAAGCCAATCACAGAGCAGAAATGCGATCTAAAAGTGTGTCAATTTTAGAGATGTCCCTAATTTTCAGCCACTGAAAATTTATTGGCTGAAAAATATGCTATTTAATGGATAAATTATGCTATTTAATGGAACCTTTCATTTTTGTGGCTTCAGTCATTGTTGGGGTACTCCTTTAAAAACTGTAAGCATTAACAAATTATATTGAAATATTGTTATCGTTTAATATGGAGAATAATTATCCAGATAGCATTTTTGCCATATTGCCCAGCCCTAGTGTGAAGTGAAGCAACTTTCACACTGGACTCAGAAAGTGCTGCAATATAAGCCAATTCATTTCAATAGCTTGCAATAGCACTACTATGCAGCAGGTATGCAACGTTGGTAAAATGTCAACTCTCGACTTGTTTACTGTCAATAACAGTTTACAGTCAATAAAATGAAAGGTAATATTTTATTTTGATGGTACATTTGAGTATTAGTAGATTGTCTGCTTGCTTAATATATGTTGATACTGCTCCTTCAACAGACATTTAACTGACTATAAGAAACTTTGCAAGTACATGTCAACTTACACTAACCCTTAATCCAACCTAACAGTCTACTTATTATCTAATGAGAAATAATTGGCATGTAGATTCAAAGTAAATTCAACAAATGGACCATCAAAATAAAGTTTTGTTAGTTTATTTATATAGCACATTTTTTACAACACAACATTGCCCAAAGTGCTGAACACAATTAAAATTAATTTAAATAGATCCTACATCACATAACAATTAAAACATAAGGCAAACCCCTCAACATTAAAAAGACTCAAATGCTAAAGAACAAAGATGGAGTTTCAGAAGCGTTTTTAAAAAAGATAGAGTTGGAGTGTGTCTGATGTGGGGTGGAAGCCCGTTCCAGAGTTTTGGGGCAATAACAGCAAAAGCCTGTGTGACCAAATGTGGTTATTGGTTTGTTTCTTAAAATCCATATAATGTAAGTTATTGGGTTACAATTACTTTATGCTGTGTAATAACATAATAATAAGCAATTATTCCAATTAGTACTTGGTACAATTTACAATATAATTTTTTTTGCTTGCGGCTAAGGTTATTAAGAATTTATTGGTTTTGGTTTTGGCCCATAATTTAATTTTCAGTGCTTCCCTATTCTATAATTTTTTATTATTTTTTTGACTCTCAAAATGCATTGACTTGCATTTTATGAATCACTAAGGACGATGGCAAAAATAGTTAATGGTCCACTGAACAAAAAGTCACCTACATCCTGCATGGCCTGAGGGTGAGTAAAATAACCGCATTTTTATTTTGGGGTGAGCTACTGTATCCCTGCTCTTTTTTTATGTCCAGATCAAACTTCAAGCTGCTGGCGGTGAGTGGGAAGCTGTATGCGGTTGGAGGTCATTGTCTGGGTACAGTGGAGTGTTACAGTCCTGAGCAGGACTGGTGGACGTGTGTGGCGCCTCTGCCTGATCCTCTCGCTGAGTTCTCTGCCTGTGAGTGTCAGGGCATGATCTACGTCATGGGCGGTTATACCTCTAAAGGTGAGTTTCACTAAGAGCACACACACTCAGAAGCAGAATCAGAAACCCCCTTAGAACTGCGTATTAAAATAAGTACAATTCAGAATTTGGGCTCAGAAATGACAGATATAAAGTTGTTTGCTTTTTATTATGTCAGAAGTTTATGAGCACTTTTATAAAACTCTGTACTTTTAACTCGCAAGAGAAAAGACACCTTGATTTACAAGGTGAAAGGTTAGAATTGTGGCATTATATCTAGTTTTTCTCAGTAATTTTGACATTTTTCTCACAATTATGAATATGGTTTTTGCAATTCTGTCTTAACGTCTCAAATGTGAGATCATATTATGCAATTTTAAGAAAACAGTCAGAATTGTAAAATCAAAAGTGACAATTACCTCTTATTTTGTGACAGACATGGGCTTCCATAGTGTTCTTATAAAGTAGTAATAATACAAAGTATGGTCAGTGCCAGCAGCCTTACAGTTATATGTATTTTTAGTCTAACTGTATTTGAGTCAAGCTTATTTTTGTATTATTCTGTAAACTACTGAAGACCCGTGTCCAAATTTAAAATGAAAATAGGATTTATAGATTTTTTTGTTGCATAAAATAACAAAATGGCGCCATGTTTTCAGACATGTTTACTGTATATTCATTTGAGACATCACAATACAAATGCTTTAACTTCAGAAGTGGTACGAAATTGATATTTGATGCACAAATAATAAATTTGATAATTTTCTGAAAATAAAAATAGAATTGATCATTTATAATTTTACTTAGATTTTGATATGAATATTATTACACCTTTAATTTAATAAATATTCATATTTTATTCAGTCCTGTACCTAATAAATCCAGTAAATCAAGTAATGTCTTAATATTTGCATAGCTGCATGTCACAGTCGAAAAGATATATACAGTATACTAAAACAAAATACTATACAGTGATTCCTCGTTAATCGCGGGAGTTCGTTCTAAAAGTAGACAATAGCTGAAATCGGTGAAGTAGTCCGCTTTTCCACAATTTCCACAATTATTATAAATGTTTTAAGGCTGTAAAACCCCTCACTACACTCTTTTCTCAGATAGACATTAACATTTTCACACTTTTTTTCTCGTATAAACACTCGTGTAGCTTCTTCCTTCCTTTAGCATGTCCAGAGGTCCAACTTTTGTGCAATGGTTAGCGTCTTCCTCTGCTTTTTAGGTGCTACCACAGGTACTTTTAACAGTGCAGAATATTTCGTTGACATTATGGGGTTTGTTTGGGGAAAAAACTTGTAAACATACAGTACAGCACTTCCGAGTCACACTGCTAGCGATCAAAGATGGATGTTAATTTGGCAAGCTGAACGCATTCTGTGCTGTACAGGAGACACTGCATGGAGGTGATTGATTGAAAATGGTCTACAGCCAATCAGGACGCAGAACACAATGCGCTAATTAGGACGCAGAAAACAATGCGCTGTGAAAAAAAGCATGTCAAATTGCACTAAAAACAATCCGCAAGAGCGATTTATGGAGAGGGACCACTGTATTTAAAATCACCTTTAAAGGGGACCTATTATGCCCTGTTTTACAATATGTAAAATAAATCTCTGATGTCACTAGAGTGTGTTTGTGAAATTTCAGCTCAAAATACCTTACAAATGATCTTGTATATCTCTTTGAAACTGCCTCTTTTAGGCTTTAATCTAAATTGCGCTATTTTGGTGACTGTCGCTTTAAATTAAAATGTAATTATGTGATCCCAGCCTTCGTTTCAAACGATGGTGGAGCTACGAACATCCTAAAACTCTAATAGTGGATGGCTGCTTCTCATTTAGGGCGGTTTATGCTAATGAGAGACAGATTGTCACTAATGGGTGGGGCTTTCCTCTAATGACATGTACAAAGGGAGAATGTCAATCAAAGTGTTTCTGCAGACTGTTTATATGAAGTGTGATTATTAAAAACAGAATCAGTTATTTTTTACCATTAGATGCTGGCTATATCCATACAACTATGTTTCCACACAACTATGCCTCCTTTAAGATTCTGATTTCAGTGTATTTGTTCTAATATGTGACAGACAGAAACACCAACGTCCTGCGCTACTGTCCTGTCTCGGACGCATGGTCTGTTTTCCATTCTTGTTCGGCTCATGTGCGCAAGCAGCAGATGCTCTCTGTGGAGGACACCATCTACCTGGTGGGAGGCTACACGCATGAGCTGGAAGCTAGAGAAAGCGGACGGCGGAGGCTCAGCCAGACAGAGGACATGCTGACAGTACAGTCCTACAACGTGCAGACCGGAGAATGGTTGCAACTTAAGGAAAACACATCGAAATCAGGCTTGAACCTCACCTGCACACTGCACAACGATGGCATCTACATCATGAGCAGAGATGTCAGCCTGCCAACCAGCCAGGAGCACCGCGTCTTCCTCAAATACAATATCTTCTCAGATGCCTGGGAGGCTTTCAGACGCTTCCCTGCTCTGGGACAGAACATGCTGCTTTGCTCTCTCTACCTGCCCAACGTGCTCTGAGGCAATGGATCCGGACGGGAGATAATGATGATAGCACAGATTTTGTTGCAGACATGTCAGAATTGGAGGAGATCGCCATATTGGTTTACCAAATCAGAAGAAAAACCTGGGGGAGATATTAAAGGGATTGTTTAGCCAAAAATGAATATTCGGGCATCTTTTCTTACTCTCATTACCAGTCTGGAACATTCTTTAAATAGTTAGTTCACCTAAAAATGAAAGTTTGCTGTTAATTAACTCACCCTCAGGCCATCCAAGGTGACATTTCATCTTCAGTTGAACATTAAAGAAGTCAATGTCTAACAGAATCTAAGAGTCTAAAAAAAAGTATGAAAATATACAGGCTAAACTAAAACAGTATTCAAGGCTTCTGTTGATACAATGAGGTATTAGGAAGCCGTGCTAGAAACAGCTGTCCAACAAATCAAATATTCAAACAAACTTCAAACAAACTCATAAACTCAACACGTAAAATTTATTAAAGAATAAAAAAACTGGTGGCTCAGACTGTTATTTAGTTTGTTAAAGACCAATCTATTCGCTTTAGTCCTTTAGAGTGTATCGTCAGGAGACAGGAATTAGTCAGTTTTTTTACAAAGTGGTGGTAGTGAATAAATTGCATTTTATTTTAGCTGAAAATCTACTGAAAAAAACTCATAATACACCTTGGATGGATGGAGGGTGATTAAATAACAAGCCAATTTAATTTTGTGTGTGAACTACCTGTAACATTGTTGTGTTTCATGGAGAGAAAAGTATTGTTTTCAAAAACTGTTCATTTACATAACACCTGGAACCCGATTACTTCAGTTTTATGGACAAAAAGCTGAAGCATATAGGTTTGGAATGACATGAAACAAAATACGAGAAAAAAAGTTTTGAAGAATGTTGGAAATCAGTAGACATTGATAACAAAAAACAAAGTACTACCAGTTATCAAAATTCTTTGATATATATTGTATATATATTTATTATTCAATGGAAGAAAAGCTAGTCAGAAACCTCCATTTTTGGGTGAAAACTCTTACTACTATCTCCATCAGAAGCTTGGTTGAATTGCCATTGTATTCAAAAACATTATCTGGGCAAATATAGAAAGAACACTACAAGAATGTTTTCTACTGACGTGGAATGTACTAATTCCAATGCATGAACAAAATCTTAATGATATACAACATGCCATATTACAGTACTACAATAATGCACAAGTGAAGGCTTCAGATTAATAAATCCTGCAGGTAAAACTGAAACACTAAACTTGCCTAAGCTGATTAAACATCATCAATGATAAGGGGACATTAAAGTGATGGATCACCCAAATGAAAACAGATTGACCAACCCTAATGTCCTTTCAAATCCAATTTCTAATTTCATTTCTCCATTGAAATTAAGTCAGTGTCATCTTAACTTTCATAATGCAGAGAAAAACGTATACAGACTATTTAATTTTCTATTTTGTTTTGTATTAGAAAGAATACATGAAGGTTATTACATTTTTTGAGGTTGAACTGTGCCTTTAAGATTCAATGTGCCAGACTCAATGTTGACTGACTACCTGTGCCTGGTTTTTGAATGTACACAGTTAATATAGTCTTAAAGGAATTATCGTATTTCAAATAGTAAGAAGTGTCTTAAAAAGTGTTGCACAATTGAAGCACAAATACTTAAGCGCCTGACCTAAACCTCTGTGATGTATAAGAGGACCTGCTGAGGTGTTTCCTTGAATAAAAAGGAGTTGCATTAACTTATGTTCCATTTAGGTTTAGATTTTTTTTTCACCTGTTGAGCCAAAATGGATGACGGTTTTGTTGAGCATTCCCAAGTTGCCTTAAAAATGTAAAGTTATATTAAAATGTTCAGGGACACAAATAAAGGCTTTAAATTACTTATTTGTGTGTGCTTTTAATTGTCTTCTTGTTCTTAGTGAGATTACCTTCTGACTTCACAGAGGAAGTCCATGTGTAATCGACTGTTCAGGGGTCTGATTCATAATATTTGCAGAGAAAACGTTCTAAAAGTAAACATACACCTGAATAACTTTTAATTCTAAGATGGTGAGAAATAAGATTCTCTGGTCTGATGAGAACTTTTTGGCCTCAATTCTAAGCGGTATGTGTGGAGAAAACCAGGGACTTGTCCAACACAGTCCTAACAGTGAAGCATGGTGGTGGCAGCATCATGCTGTGGGGGTGTTTTTCAGCTGTAGAGACAGGACAAATAGTAGCATCTAGGGAAAGATGAATGTCGCCAAGTACAGGGATATCCTGGATAAAAACCTTCTCCAGAGTGCTCAGGACCTCAGACTGGGCTGAAGGTTTACCTTCCAACAAGACAATGACCCTAAGCATACAGCTAAAAGAATGAAGGGGAGGCTTCACAACAAGTAAGTGACTGTTCTTAAATGGCCCAGCCAGAGCCCTAACTTTAACCCAATTAAGCATCTCTGGAGAGACCTAAAAATGGATGTCCAGCAACGTTTATCATCAAACCTGACAGAACTGGAGAGGATCCCCAAATACAGGTGTGAAAAACTTGTTGCATCTTTCCCAAAAATGCTGTATCAAAAGTGTTTCTACTAAATACTGAGCGAAGAGTCTAAATACTTATTGTGATATTTCAGTTTGTCATTTTTTAATAAATCTGCAAAAATGTCAACAATTCTGTTTTCTGTCAATATGGGGTGCTGTCATTTCCAAACATTTCCGCTATTTTGTGCATACACCATGTTTATAAATCAAACGGTTGATGTAACACATGGTTGATTTATTTGCCTTAGCGTCTTACCATTGTCCTTCACTGTCTTTGACATCTGCACTGTGGTTGTGTTGGCATGACTCTGGTCACTGGGTCTTAATGTGGAGCAGATGTCCCAGTAAAGATAAGCCACCTGTAAACAGGATCATGTGGTTAAAGGATTAGTTCACTTACAGAATAAAAAAATCCTAATCATTTACTCACCCCATAGTTACTCATCCAAGATGTTCTTCTCTTTATTTTTTCAGTCAAAAAAGAAGATGTTTGAGGAAAACATGCAGGGATTTAATAGTGGACTTTATATGGTGCAAAATAGCTTATACTTACAAATTGCAGTTTTGATACAGCTTGAATGATCCCAAATGAGGAGTAAGGGTCTTACCAAGTGAAACCATTTGGCAATGCATTTTCTTAAAAAAACAAACAAACATGTAGGCCTACTTACAACTACAAAAGCTTAGTAAATAGCTAGTGCCAGACAAGCGTTTGTGGTTAAAATGAACTTTAACTGGATGACAAGGAGGTGAGTAAAACGTATTAAAAAATATTAATAAAATATTATTAAAAATATTCAGGAAACTTTATTCTAGAGGTGAACTAATGTTTTAAGCTTGTGTATATTACATGGCATGGCAACACAATTCGACTAAACCTACAACTTTATTCCTGCATGTGTTTCAGTGACGACGGATTTGAACATCATCAGAGGATTTCTAAAGAAATGACCGACAGATCTCTTGGAATTCTTTGGAAGTCTAGTGTATACCAATGACTGAATATTTTATTGTTGTTCAGTGATCTACTTATTATATACATTTTAGTTTAAATACATCGAACCCATCCTTATAAAATGTATTATACCGTATGTAAAGCTAAAATATTTGTTTAGTAGCTTTTGAAATATTTGTATATATAAATAACTTTATTAATAATACAGTACGGATAAATGAACTGATTATATATGCAATTGAAGACAAAATTATTAGCCATCCTGTAAATATATACTGTTGATGTCAGAATTATTAGCCACCCTGAATTATTTGTTTCCCCAATTTCTGTTTAACGGAGAGAAGCTTTTTTTCAGCACATTTCTAAACATACTGGTTTTAATAACTCATCGCTAATAACTGATTTTTTTTATCTTTGCCATGATGACAATAAATAATATTCACTATATATTTTTCAAAACACTTCTATACAGCTTAAAGTGACATTTAAAGCTTAACTAGGTTAATTAGGTTAACTAGGCAGATTAGGGTAATTAGGCAAGTTATTGTATAACGATGGTTTGTTCTAGACTATCGGAAAAATATATAGTTTAAAGGGGCTAATAATTTTGACCTTAAAAAAATTGAAAAGTGCTTTTATTCTAGCAAAAATAAACAAATCTGACTTTTTCCAGAAGAAAAAATATTATCAGACATACAGTGAAAATTTCCTTGCTCTGCTAAACATAATTTGGGAAATGTTTGAAAAAAAAAAAAATAATCCAACCTCAACTGTATGTGTATATATACTGATACATTTGTACTTATAATTGTGACACTCGCTGTTTAAAAATATATATAAATATATGTTTGTTTTTTTCTAACCAAAATAAAAGACATAAGAGAAAAAATACATTAGTAAATAATTGGAAATATTCCCTTGCACTGTAACAAGACATATTTGAATAAGAACAAACATTTCACACGAGAGCTAATCATTTCATCTTCAACAGTATAATAATAACAACGTTTTTCACAAATTACTTAAATGGTCCCTTGGAATATCCTTTTAAACAACATTATAACCACTTGGAGGCGCTACAACTTAATATAGTCTGTGACAGACATTTTCCCCACACTGTTCTGTCATTCATTAAAATCGCACATAATGCAAATGAACAGGGTATGTAAATATTAAAACATCTAAGACCATGAATACCAAGAAAAACACCTAAAGAAAAAAAACGTCAAAATATACAAACGTGCCTAAAATATCCAGCACCCAGACAAAGCACAGGCGGCAAAGAGCAGTGATTCTGTATTACAGTGACCTGTTTTCAGATAGCCAGCAGCGTGATTTGTTCTGGTTGGGAATTGGGGGTTGAGTGAAGCGAGTGTGTCTTTTACTGATGTTCTCCTGTACACCATGTGGCTGAATGATTAGATCTTCAGCAAATCAGAGCTAGAGGACCGGCCGTTTAATGTGTCACTGGTTGTGAGCAGCCTCTGATGAATCACAGGATGAAATAAAAGCAGCAGATGCAGTTTGTTCTACTATAAAGGGAAAGTTCACCCAAAATTGATAATACATTCATTTACACAGCTTCTGCTTGCTCCAAACCTGTTTCTTTCTTCTGTTGAACACAAAAGAAGCTATTTTTGAAGCATATTGAAAACGCTGACATCCATAAAAAATACTATGGAAGTCAATGGGTACTGGTTTTCAGCATGTTTCAAAGTATATTATTTTGCATTCAACAGACGATGAGGACTAGTATGCTAAGCACATCATCCTTTTTGGCTAACTAGTCCTATTATAAACACAGGATTCTCAGTTCTATTTAATATAACATATATAATACTGGCTAATCATAGACAGTTTATAACACTTCACTTAACTGCTAAAATCACAATGGTGAAGTTTTCTTTTTTTGGAAACACATGATAGGAAGTTTGGTTTTACTGGTATCAATAGTTACTTCTCTGTTTGAGTCAGACTTGTAGATCACGAAAAACTAGTAGGCTTTAATCTACATCTTTGTCTGCTGTGTACAGAATCATCCACAAAGATCACTCAAATTCCAGTGTTTGCATTTTACGAAATGATGGTTTTGGAGGTTAAATTTTTTTTTTTTATTGTTTTTAAAAATCTTCACTTTGAACCTGTTTTCAAAAGCGTTGTCAACCCCCCAAAATGTTTTTTTTTCCTGTAAATGAATAACTGTTTTAGTTAAAAACAGTGTCGTACATACTTAAAAAAAAAAAATGCTATTACTTTGCATTTAATTTACTATTCACCAAAGAATTTTGAGAAAATAGTGTTTTTTAACAACAACCAAAATAATAACTAGACAACACAACTGTTCCTCATTAAAATAATAAGCAATCTACATTGATATCAATTACTTTTTTAATATGAATGAGATTCCTTCATGTATATTAAGGTGATTTTAGATGAAACAACTATTTTCAGCATTGATAATAATAAGAAATTTTGTCTTGAATAACGAATAACAAATCAGCACATTGGAAAAGTTTCTGAAAGGCCACATGAGACCGAAGACTAAAACAATGCAATAATATAGAAAAAAATACAATACACTAATACACTAATAGTGTAATACAATACACTATATATATATATATATATATATAATATTACATTGATTTTAGATAAAACAACTATTCTCAGCATTGATAATAAAATGAAATGTTTCTTGAGTAACAAATAAGTGGTTGGAACGATTTCTGAAAGATGAGGCATGAGACTGAAGGCTGAAATTATGACTTAAACATAAATAATATCTCAAATAAATGACCCTTTAAACTACCTTCAAATATTAAACATCTATTCTAAATATTAATGAAAACATCTATACTTTTAATCTTATTTCTGATCAAAAAATGTCACTTTGTTGTGTACAAGGTGTTAAATCTACTGGGCAGACTTCCAAATAAGTATTTTTACCACAAGTGCATGTGTGTGTGGGTAAAAATAACACAAAAGATGAAGGTCAAGCATAGTATGTCAAAAAAAACATCAACAATCGAAGCTAATTAATGAAAAGTCACTTTGAAAGGACAGTATGAGAGAGAGAGAGCGAGAGAAACGAAAGAGAAGTAGGTGGAGAAAGACAGAGGGAGGTGCAGAAAGATAGAGAGAGAGAGAGAGAGAGAGCAGGGGAGGAGAGATAGAGAACGAGAGGGAAAGAGAGAAGGACGCTTCGTCTCTGCAGCGCTGCAAGGACAGGGTGAACATCACCAGGACGGAGCTCTCTCCAAAACACACACGCACACACACACCATGAACACCAAACCAATCACTGCACTGGACTGACAGCTGTCAATCCACTGGAGCAGATTATCAGGATCCAGAGATTACAACGGGGGACTTAAGCGGAGTAATTCCAACTTATGTTTGCTTAGAACTTGCTATTCGAGGGTGGAAAATTGGCCATTTTTTGATGCCTTTGAACCTGCATTTGTCACATGCGTGTGTGTGCTTTAGGGGAAGCGTGTATGAGACTGTCTAGCTGTAAATCAGGGTCACAGTCTTGCTGACTCTCACCCATCAGTGCTTAGTAGGTTCATTAGTGCTTCGGTTAGTGTTTATTTCACCTCTCCGCCACCAAAAACCATGAGTGAGGGCAAGAAGGAGTTGGAGATGAGGGACAAAGCCATCATGCATCAGCAGAGGAGACTCAAACAAGCCACTCAATTCACTCACAAGGACTCGGCCGATCTTCTGCCTCTGGACGGGCTCAAGAGAATGGGCACATCTAAAGACTTGGTGAGATTTTTTGGATTGTCTATCAATGGTATAAAGACAGACAGATATAATTGTAAATATTTCTGCATGTAAATCAGTAGGCAGTTTCAAATGCTACATGCCATGGGGATGTGATGCATTATTTAGCGCTCCTCAACCAGGCATGGCTGTGAATGTTTTCTGACACATCAGTAGATCCGGTGTTCGGCTTCCCCTCCATGCTGCTAGATTAGAGTCACACACTTTCTTTCTCTCTCTCTCTCTCTCTCTCTCTCTCTCTCTCTCACACACACACACACACACACACACAACACATGATGGGTTTTCATGTTTTATGGGGTCTTCTCATAGACAAAATCAATTGTCCTGTACTGACTCTATTTTCCAAAATTCTCCAAACCTTAACCATAAACAACCCTTCTAGAAAACCTTCTGCAGTTTTACATTATTAAAACTTTATGATTGGTATTATTATACTTGTGGGGACAATTGGGCCTCATAATGTAGTAAAAAGACACACACAAACATCATTGTGGGGACTTCCCATAGATGTAATGACTTTTATACTGTATATATTCTGAACTCGTACTCCAACCCAAACCCTAAACCCAACCTTCAAATAAACAAACAAAAACTACATTTGTGACCCTGGACCACAAAACCCAATCATAAATGTCAAAATTAAAAGATGAATGAATAAGCTTTTCATTGATACTGATGACAAGATGTAAGGATAGAGGACAATATTTGGCCATGATGCAACAATTTGAAAATCTAGAATCTGTGGATTATCAAAAAAAAAAAAAACGCAAATACAAAGTAATTGCCTTAAAAGTTGCCCAGATTAAGTTCTTGAATTTAATTTTGATGTACTTTCAGTACAGGAAATTTACAAAACAAAAGTCTTTTTAGAACATGATTTTAATACACAATCATTTCACTGTTAATAATTTTTTGGAAGGGATGGCACAGTGGCTCAGTGGTTAGCATTGTCACCTCACAGCAAGAAGGTCACTGGTTCGAGTCTCAGCTATGCCAGTTGGCATTTCTGTTTGCATGTTCTCAGACTAAGCAGAAGGAAAATTAATGAATGAATGATTTTTGGCATTAAATTAATGTATTTCTGGAACATGAGACTGGTTTTGAGATCCAGGGTGACATTTTTACATGCTAAATACTTAATTCTGTATGATTAATATTCATGTTTACTCATGGGGACCTCATAGGTTGTGTGCGAGTTTTGGTTTTGGTGGTTTATGAGGACTCTCCATGAGCATTATGTATTTTATATTGTAAACATGCTTATTTTATGGCCTTACAGTACCCCTATCCATGAACCCAAGCATCATGGGAAACCCATGGCATATTTTGAATGTTAAAATACCATGATAAGTTGAAGACTAATAGAATTGATAAGATTTTTTATTTTTTTTAATTGCAAGGGTGTAAGGCATGTCCTCATATAAACAGTTAGGTCATTCCCATGTAATTATGCAAATTTGTTTCTTCATAAACCACCAAAACCAGTACAGACACACACACAAACACACACACACGCACGCACGCACGCACAACCATGCTGAAGACCTCACAGTGTCTTCTCTTGTATACTTGAATCATGCTAATTATGGTGGCTTGAAAAGCCAACATACTGTTATCTCACGTAAACTTATTATTAGGCTGGCTTGTCAAAGCCAGACTACTGTTCTACTATTTAAACTTATTATTATTATTAATTTTATTATTATTCTTCTTCTGAGACTAAAATTCAAACTCTATCTACTCCTTGAACTTTCAAGCTATTACCACCAAACTCACACCAGACCTCCAAACTGGTCTGACTCGGTATGCCATATCTCCTCAGACTGATCCAACTTTCGGTTTTCCGAAAAACGTCCCGGGACTGTCGGAAAAATCCCATAGACTTAACATTGGACCAAACTTTGTGACCTCGTAACTCTGCGTCAGACTGTCGCACAGAACTCTGAGCTCATTTAACTCAGACTATCAAACTGTCAATGACTGATCACCTTTAAACTTTCTAGCCACGCCCTAGCAACCACTTTTGGACCCTAGTAACTGTCCCATAGACTTCAATTCAAAAGACTCTCATTGACTTAACATGGGATCAAACTTTGTGAGTTCATAACTCTGAATCAGACTGTCCTACAGACTAATGGCTGAGCTCATTTAACTCCAACTACCAATCTGCCAATAACTGATGAGCTTTTAACTTTCTAGCCACACCCCTAACTACCACATACTGCACCCTAGCAACTGTCCCGTAGACTTCCATTACAAAAGACTCTCATTGACTTAACATGGGATCAAACTTTGTGAGCTCATAACTCTGCATCAGACTGTCCTACAGACTAATGGCTGAGCTCATTTAACTCCAACTACCAATCTGCCAATAACTGTTGAGCTTTTAACTTTCTAGCCACACCCCTAACTACCGCATACTGCACCCTAGCAACTGTCCTATAGACTGTAATTAGCTGTGCTATCAAATGCTTATAATTCTAACATACTAATGACATGCCAATCATGCTAGCAACATGCTACTCATATGTTAATCATGCTAATGACATGCTAACTCATACTGGAAACATGCTAATGACGTGCTAATTTGTACTAGAATCATGCTAGTAACATGCTAATTCATACTAGACTCATGTTAATAACTGGCCTACATGCATATCTTTGCTTAGCATTGTCCTATTGACTTGGGGGATGGCTTATCTGACTCAGACAACCAATGAGCATCTCAATATGATAATGAAGCTCACAAGCCACGCCCCCAAATTGATTCCATAGACTTCCATTAAAATAGGCCAAGATGCATATCTTTGCATAGCAGTGTCATAGAGACATGGGGGTTGGTTCATTTGACTTAGACAGCCAACCAAATTCAAGTTCACTCTGTAACCTCGCCCATAGCAACAAAACAGAGTACCCTAGCAACCATTCATCAACAGCGATATCTCAGCATCAGAACATCGTAGAGACTTGGAGATTGGCTCGTTTGACTCATGCTAGCAAATGGAATTTCCTATATGCTACACATGCTAGCAGTGATTAGCTACATGCTAATATTGACTAGCCAAGTACTGTAACTTGCTAGAAATGCTTACTAAGTATAAATGTTTTATCAAGCTTGTATGTGAGGCTTGCCTAGTAACCAACCAGGGTACCCTAGCAACTGCCTAGCAACCACCCAAATTACCCTAGCAACCGCCTAGCAACAGCCTAGTAATCCCTTAGTAAGGGCCTAGCGACCACTCAGGACACCCTAGCAACCGCCTAGCAACGCCTTAGCAACCACTCAGAATACCTTAGCAACCACCTAGCAACACCTTAGCAACTACCTAGCAACCACTTGGGACACCTTAGCAACCGCCTAGCAACACCTTAGCAACCACCTAGCAACCACTCAGAACACCCTAGCAACCGCCTAGCAACGCCTTAGCAACCACCTAGCAACCACTCAAGACACCCTAGCAACCACCTAGCAACACCTTAGCAACCACTCAGGACACCCTAGCAACCACCTAGCAACGCCTTAGCAACCACTCAGAATACCCTAGCAACCACCTAGCAACCACTTAGGACTCCTTAGCAACCACCTAGCAACACCTTAGCAACCACCTAGCAACCACTCAGAACACCCTAGCAACACCTTAGCAACAACCTAGCAACCACTTAGAACACCCTAGCAACCGCCTAGCAACACCTTAGCAACCACTCAGAACACCCTAGCAACCACCTAGCAACATCTTAGCAACTACACAGAGCACCCTAGCAACCGCCTAGCAAGACCTTAGCAACCACCTAGCAACCAATCAGAGCACCCTAGCAACTGCCTAGCAACAACCTATCAACCACTCAGAACACCCTAGCAACCACCTAGCAATGCCTTAGCAACCACCTAGCAACCACTCAGAACACCATAGCAACCACCTAGCAACACCCTAGCAACCGCCTAGCAACATCTTAGCAACCACCCAGCAACCACTCAGGACACCCTAGCAACTGCCTAGCAACGACTTAGCAACCACTTAGAATACCCTAGCAACCACCTAAGCATGCTATGTGACATGCTAATTCATACTAGAATCATGCTAGTAACATGCTAACTCATACTACAATCATGCTAATAACATGCTAATTCATACTAGAATCATGCTAATAACATGCTAATTCATACTGGAATCATGCTAGTAACATGCTAATGCATGCTAAAATCATGCTAATAACATGCTAATTCACGCTAGAATCATGCTAGTAACATGTTAATTCATACTATAATCATGCTAATAACATGCTAATTCCTGCTAGAATCATACGAGTAACATGCTAATTCATGCTAGAATCATTCTAGTAACATGCTAATTCATACTAGAATCATGCTAATTCATGCTAGAATCATGCAAATAACCTGCTAATTTATACTAGATTCATGATAGTAACAGGCTACTTTATACTAGAATCATGCTAGTAACATGCTAATGCATGCTAGAATCATGCTAGTAACATGCTAATTCATGCTAGAATCATACTAGTAACATGCTAATTCATGCTAGAATCATGCGAGTAACATGCTAATTCTTGCTAGAATCATTCTAGTAACATGCTAAATCATACTAGAATCATGCTAATTCATGCTACAATCATGCTAATAACCTGCTAATTCATACTAGATTCATGATAGTAACAGGCTAATTCATACTAGAATCATGCTAGAATCATGCTAGTAACATGCTAATTCATGCTAGAATCATACTAGTAACATGCTAATTCATGCTAGAATCATGCTAGTGACATGCTAATTCATGCTAGAATCATGCTAGTAGCATGCTAATTCATACTAGAATCATGCTAGTGACATGCTAATTTATTCTAGAATCATGCTAGTAACATGCTAATTCATGCTAGAAGTATGCTAATAACATGCTAATTTATACTAGAATCATGCTAATAAAATGCTAATTTGTACTACACTCATGCTAATAGCATGCTAA